GATCGGCCGGGTCATCTTTGGCGAGCATGTCGTCATTCTCCGATTGGTGCGCCAACAAAGGCGCCTCGAATTCCTCTCGGAACCTTTGTGCCTCACCAGCTTCACTAGCTTGGGCCTCTGTTTTCTCAGTGCGCCACCCGCCACCGTGCAGCACCTTAAGCATCAATGCAGATGCTGTACCGCTGGGGAACTTCAGCTTTTCCCGCACGATGACTTCCTTCCTCAAGGGGACGGCGAAGACAACGCCAAACAGGCAGACCCCGAGACTCCAGAGCACCAGTTTTCCGAAACCAAGCTTGAGCGGACCCCCCTCCCCTGTACCGCCGTCCCCCGATGGACCATCTGGTCCGTCCTTGATCAGGAATTCCAAAGCAGGAACCACACCCACAAAGCCGCACCCGAGTGGCATTGTACCGACCGCGCCCGCAACGGTTTGTATGAGGACATTTTCGATGGGGGTAAACGGGTACGACAGGTATTTCGAGAAGACTTTGAAGACCGAGAAGCCGATCAGTGCCGAGGGCATGGCCATTGTACTAATCCATCCCGTCTGCAGGCCGAAATAGGTGTTGGAGAATGTGATCAAGACGCCAATGAGGATCCCGACCAGCAAGGAACGGATTGTGAAGCTCTCCGCGAAGACCTCAGACGACTGTTGTCGGTGGAGCTTGGGACTCGAGCCATCGGCCCCAAATCTGCTGGGATCACCGTCGTGATTCGTGGATGGGATCGATGAGACCTCTGGGGACTGGCGATATGGGCGCGAGGCATTGGGGGAGGCATCGCCCGCCATGTTGATGGTTTGGTAGTTCATGCGGTGCAAACACGCCCAAAGTTCATTCCCAAATCCAACACGCTGTATTCAACCTTCTTCCATGACCATTAAACAGGAGAGAAACAGCTGGCCATGTTGCGAAAGGGAAAAATTGGATGATGGGATGGAAGGGAAGGAGATAAGGCGCCCGCGAGGATTGGATTGATAATCGGGGTAAAGAAGCACAGACCGCCACTTACAATGACGCGATATGACTAAGCCGCGATAACGTAATCGGTAAGCGAACCGGCGGTGTAAGCGAACCGGCACCCGCGCGCGTCAGTTTCGCGTTCTTCAACTTGAAGCAATTCAACCACCAATAACTCCACCAAAAATGCCTCGATCGTCAAAATCTTTAGTGGAACAAGAAGGCCGAATCTGCCTTGCCGTTGAGGCTATTCAAAAGGGCGAAATTTTTTTATAGCGGAAGCAGCCCGTGTATTCAATGTTCCGCGTTCAACCCTACAAGAACGCCTGCAAGGAGTCAAAGCAAGGTCAAATAAACGTGCTAACTCCATGAAATTGACTTGCCTTGAAGAGGAAGTATTAAAGAGTTGGATCTTTTCGCTTGTAAAGCGTGGGCTTCATCCTCGGCCGTCATATGTTCGAAGTATGGCGACAATTCTTCTTCAAAAACGTGACTCGGATTCTACAGTCTCTGTGGGTGAAAAATGGGTATACAACTTTGTTAAACGTACTCCGGAATTGAAGAATCAATTCTCTCGGAGATATCATATCCAACGTGCGAAATGCGAAGATCCAAAGCTTTTGACCGAATGGTTCAACCGCGTTGAAGCTGCGAAGAAGGAATATGGTATTCTTGATCAAGATATCTGGAACTTTGATGAAACTGGCTTCGCTATGGGAATGGTAGCTACAGCCCGTGTAGTTACACGGTCTGACTGCGTGGGCAAGCCGTTTCTTATACAGCCAGGAAATCGAGAATGGGTGACTTCAATTGAGTGTATCAACGCCGCCGGTGTGGTGTTGTCACCGTACTTGATTCTTAAGGGAAAAGTCCATATAGAGGCATGGTATCAAGGCCTTCTTCCCTCAGATTGGCGTATCAATCTATCACCAAATGGTTGGACTTCCAATGATATCGGTTTACATTGGCTTCGTGAACACTTTATTCCTTCTACCAAGGACCGGCGGATTGGGCAATATAGCCTCTTGATTCTTGACGGACACGACTCCCATTTGACTGCGGAATTTGACAATATATGTAGTCAAAATGGCGTTATTCCTATCTGTATGCCTCCGCATTCTTCACACCTTTGTCAACCGCTTGATGTTGCTTGCTTTGCACCGTTGAAACGAGCGTACGGAAGCTTGGTGGAACGGTTAATCCGTCAGGGTATCCACCATATTGATAAGGTTGATTTCTTGGATACGTACCCAGAAGCACGTTCTCTTGCCTTTAAAGAAGCGACTATACGCAACGCCTTCAAAGCTTCAGGATTGGTTCCATTGCAGCCGGACGAGGTTCTCAGTAAACTGGTTATACAGCTCCGTGAGCCTACTCCAACCGGCAGTATTACCACTACATCAACAGTGCCAAAAACGCCCAAAAACACGAAGCAATTAAGGAGGCATGAAACTACAATTGAAAGGCTTCTTCGTGAACGTACAATCAGCCCGTCCTCGCAGATGAAAGCAGCGTTATCCTATATTGTAAAAGGATGCGAAATCGCCATCAACCGGGCTGCTTTACTTGAGCAGGAAGTTGATGAATTACGAACTGGTTTGGAGAGGCAAAACGCTAAGAATAAGAGGTCTCATCGCCAAATGGCTGGTCTAAATGGTCTTACCGTTGACGAGGCAAAAACGCGTTTAAA